CGATAAAGGAGCCAAACACCCTCACTGGAGGAAAGATAGCCTCTTTAATAAATGGTGCTGGAAAAATTGGGTTTCAATTTGCCAAAGATTAAAACTAGACCTATATCTCTCGCCATGTACTAAACTAAAATCGAAATGGATTAAAGATCTAAATGTTAAAATAGAAATGCTAAACTGGCTGGAACTGAAGTTAGGTAGAACTCTTGAAGACATTGGTGTAGGAAAAGATTTTATGAACAAAACCTCTGTTGCCTGAGAACTAGAACAGTCAACAAATGGGATCTCTTCTTATTCAAAAGCTTCTACACAGCAAGAGAAATCACCAGCAGTGTGAAGAGACAAGCCACATTGTGGGAAAAAATCTTCACCTGCTGTTCCTCATACAAAGATCTACTATCTTGAATCTATAAAGAACTTAAAAAGATCAGACCTCCCAAATTTAAAGACCCAATCTGAAAATGGGCATCTAAAATGAATAGACATTTCTCAGATAAAGAAGTAGAAATAGCAAATAAATACATGAAAAAATGTTCAACATCACTGGTCATTCGAGAATTGCAAATAAAAGCAACGCTGAGATTCTACCTCACTCCAGAAAGAATGGCTGCTATCATGAAATCAAACAATAACAAATGCTGGTGGGGCTGTGGGGAAAGAGGAACCCTGCTCCACTGCTGGTGGGAGTGTAGACTGGGGCAACCACTGTGGAAATCAGTATGGAGATACCTCAAAGAACTAGGACTGGAAGTCCCATTTGATCCAGCTATTCCCCTGCTGGCTACCTTCCCCAAAGAATTAAAAAAATCATACCACAGTGATGTATGTGCACCCATGTTCATAGGAGCACAGTTTGTAATAGTTTGGAAACAGCCCAAATGCCCATCAACTGGAGACTGGATAAAGAAAATGTGGTTTTTTTCTATAAAATAGAGTACTACTCAGCCACATAAAATGAGAAATTAGAGACATTTATAGGTAAATGGATACACATTGAGGTGATACTTTTAAGTGAAATAAATAGGACACACATGTATAAATACCGAATAGTTTCTCTAGTGTGACAAACTGAAAGTGTAAATAAGGACTAAAAGTTATAATAGATAATGTGAAATAGGAAGAAAAGGGGCAAAGGGGAAGGGGAAGTCGGAGGGGTAGGG